GACGATCTGACAGGTAAAACCACCCATCAGGATGTCATACCGTTGTCAAAAACAGAAAGTATGACGATCCGACTGTTAAACCACCCATCAGGATGCCATACCGTTGTCAAAAACAGAAAGTATGACGATCTGACAGGTAAAACCACCCATCAGGATGTCATACCTTTGTCAAAAACAGAAAGTATGACGATCCGACTGTTAAACCACCCATCAGGATGCCATACCTTTGTCAAAAACAGAAAGTATGACGATCCGACTGTTAAACCACCCATCAGGATGTCATACCGTTGTCAAAAACAGAAAGTATGACGATCTGACAGGTAAAACCACCCATCAGGATGTCATACCGTTGTCAAAAACAGAAAGTATGACGATCTGACAGGTAAAACCACCCATCAGGATGTCATACCGTTGTCAAAAACAGAAAGTATGACGATCCGACTGTTAAACCACCCATCAGGATGCCATACCTTTGTCAAAAACAGAAAGTATGACGATCTGACAGGTAAAACCACCCATCAGGATGCCATACCTTTGTCAAAAACAGAAAGTATGACGATCTGACAGGTAAAACCACCCATCAGGATGTCATACCGTTGTCAAAAACAGAAAGTATGACGATCTGACAGGTAAAACCACCCATCAGGATGTCATACCGTTGTAAAAAAAAAGGTATGACGATCTGACAGGTAAAACCACCCATCAGGATGTCATACCGTTGTAAAAAAAAAAGGTATGACGATCTGACAGAGTATGCCTGTCTGACTGACAACATCTGTCAGACAGGCATACTGTGTAATCCGGGTATGCCAGTCTGACAAGGTATGGCGACTGGACAGAACACCGGCCTCCAGCAGGTTTTGTGGTTTTTCTGCTCCAACACGCTTGATTCAGTGGTTGACACACCTGTGCAGCAGCTCATCAGGCTCTGCAGAAGCCTGTTAATCACCTGCTGATTGAAATCAGGTGTGTTGAAGCAGGGTTAAAGGTAAAACATGCTAGATACTAGCTCTCCAGGACCAGGATTGGGCGCCCTGACCTAGAGGGTCTATCCAGCATGGATTGCATTCATGATAATGTCCATTTTTTTTATCCAGAAGCAGGGATCAAATCATGGGGGGGCATTGGTGCGCTCCAGGCAGCTGCGTTCTGCGCACGGCACATTCTCAAAGTGGAGCAACCAAAAAACTATAATTAACACACGACCGTTCATGTCTATTTATGTCCTCTGGTATTCTGTCTTTTAATTGTGCCTGACGCACTCGCTCATCATGTGCTGCGATGATTTCAGCTCACTGACGCAGCATCGAAACGTGCGCTTTGCTTTGCGGTCAGAAGATCCCTTTGATCTGCTCAAAAGTAACTGATGAGGTAAAAATGTAAGAATCCAAGCAGCAGTTTTTCTGGAGAGTTTAGAGGAGATGAAGGAAGATGAGGGACAGAGGACAGGAAAATAGTTAAATAAAAACAAGAAAACAAAGAAAAAAGTTTGAAAAGGAAAATGTAAGTAGATTTATCTCCACTACACGTTTTTACCTGTATAAAACAATAAGTTACACACATGTAATATTTATACATCTGCTACAATTCAGACCATCGTCAAAACTGTCACACACCCAGGGCCGTTTCAAGGCATTTTGGGGGCCTAGGCCAAACAGAAATCCCCCCCCCCCCCAAGTTACACTTTGCACGTGACGTCACGCCACTCATGAGACCACCGCCTTCACCATGATGGACGGCAAAAAGACCGGTTATATCCATTGAAACTCAAGTGAAGGTAGTCAAAACAAGCCAGTTTGTAGCCTTTTATCACTTTTATTTAGTTGATTTTACAGTAAAATGGTTTTAGCTTGCTGCGTGGTTGGCTGCACTAAAGGATGTAAACTCAACTCGTTTTGTTTTTTTAATAACTTTGATGGAGACTGAGGACGGAGATGAACCACAGCGATCAATCAAGCGGACTAGCAGGCCTCAGATTTGCAGCGAGCATGTTTTTAACGGGTAAGATTAACATTAATTTATTTCACGAGGAAGACAGGGACAGGGGTAAATGTGATGTGTTTATACTAGTTATTGATCATCCTGATGGATGGGTATTTCACCACGGAGGTTGTGCGCCGTCCACTGTAGTGTAAAGCGAGATAATAATTAACAATATTAAAGCTCCGATGTATGATTACGTGTGATAAAATTACATTATTTATTTATTTATATCAGCGTCGCCGTTCAGAGATCTTCTCATTCTGGTGTGAGAGCAGCAGCTGAACCCGGTAACCCCACCAGTAACAGAAGCTGGTAGAGATCCGGACTTTTTAACCATCAGCTTTGGTGTAAAGTGAAACGCTGTTTATAACATAAAGTTATAAATCCAGAGGGGTGAATTTAGGCAAAGTCAGCAACATGTTTACATCGGTGAACAGCTGCAGAGAGAATGTAAGCTAACGTTGGTAAGCTAGTTAACATACCGCTCTCTATGAGCCCCCGCTAGATGCGCTACTTCTTCTGATAACTGAACTGGGCATGAACTAGTTGAAGGAATGCTGGAGTTTTGCTTTGGTTTTGATCGCAAAACAATTTCAGGCTCAACTTTCCCCTTTGTTTAGTACTGGTGTCACTTACTGTTTACATGCTTTTGTCGTCCACCATGATGGACCCACGTGATTAGGTGACGTCGGTGCAAAGGGTCAATAACTGGGCTCCCCCACAAGCCTCTGTGTAATTCATACCCTGTCCAGGAGTATTAGGTATACATTGTTTATAAAAACACCTCAGACATTACGGACATGTTCTAATATTGTCAGATGAAAAACAAAATTGTCGAACATGCTGTCTCATCTGCTTCTTTTCTAAACTCACAAAAATATGCCAGTCACAAAACCGATGGAAAACCACTTTTTGTGAATTCTCTTAACGTTTCCATGGAGTCCGTGACAAACGTTCTTTTTCATTGATCCCATCGACTAATCTCACAGCTGAAACAACGCATTCTTAATAATCTGAAGCATTAACAGTGCTGTAAAACACAAGGTATAATCATTTCTTATTAATATTATGTTGTTGCAGCACTAAAGCAGCAGAAAAATTAGATTTTGCAATAAATATGCAAAACATTTACGTATGAATTGTTTTAGAGCCATTTCGATGGCAGAATCTGATATGAATGTTAGCTACAAGCTAGGTGTTCTGACAGAACGCTGGGAAAAATGGGTCCCAATGTGGTTTGTGTGGCGTTGTCATGTAACAGTGATAATGAAAGGCAGGATGAAAATGTTCACCTTTTTCTGTACTTCATTTTGTTGCCCTGGAATTTCATGTTGTGCCATATTTAGGAAGAATGATGATATTCATCTTCATATGTGCCCATTTGGTAACTTTTCTTGTGTACGGTTAGAACTGCAACGAGACGGTTTCTGCCAGAATCCATTTTTCGAATGCCTCGTTGCTGAAATTCCTGAGGAGCTTAAATCTAAAGAAGGTAAACTGTTCATTAGGATCATCTTAATACAACTAAAACAAAATTTCCACAATATTTGTGTCTTTCTGAGGCTTCTCATTTTGAATACTTGTTTTTGTTTCTTGGCAGGATTCACAGTTGTTGGATACGCCCTGTACTTCTACACCTATAGCACGTGGAAGGGACGGTCACTTTATCTGGAGGACCTGTATGTGATGCCAGAATTCAGAGGTATAAATGTGTTAAAGACATCTTAATAACCTGCTGAACATTTTACTTTTATTTTTATGAATGCACAAATGTGTAAATATTCATGTTTTAGTGCTTACTTTCAGTTAGTGGTGCAACGGATCAAAAACTCGCGGTTCAGATTGGATCACGGATCAGATTATTTTACGAATCAGCAGAAAGAATAGAAACAGCAAACACAAATAGCTTTGCTTCCTCTTTATTTTTTTTAGAATCTCAGTTTGCAACTTGCTATAAAAATAAGAATTACAGAGAGGTCCGATTGCTGATTAAATGATAAAACGGCTTGCCATAAATATGCTCACGCTGCGTGTCCTGCTTTCACTTATTTCCTCACCTTTCTGAAGCATTGTTTGTTTTTCTTTACTCCTCTTTTACACATTTCCCCCAACAATATTTCAGGTCCCACCACGTTAAAGGTGCATTATGTTGAAATGAAGTAAAAATGACATCATTTGGTAAAATTTGGTTCCTGCAACCACTTTAAACAAATCTGGAGCTTTTTGCTGGTTTTCATCAAATTACAATTGTCGACGCTGCAATATTGGCTCACAGGAGACACATAGGGCTGCCACAAATGACTATTGTAATAGTCGACTAATCACCAGTTTTGTTGACGATTAGTCGACTAATCGTGCCATTCATAAAAGTTTAGCTTATTGCACCAGGATGCTCTAATATACCCATCATTAGCTTCTAGTTTGAAGTGTGATCAGCTATGTGCCATCTAGTAATAAAGACAAGATGATAGCTTACCAAACAACTTTTAATTAACTTTGTAACCTGTTAATACAAATGCCACAGTCAGATGGAGGTGTAGGCACCTAAAACCAAAAATAAATTGTGCACAACAATGACTTGTGTTCACTAGGGGCATGATGGCAAGGTTGAAGTGCTTCGTCTTCCAATCTTAACTCAGGAAATTCAATTCAAGTTTATTTATATAGCGCCAAATCACGACAAGAGTCGTCTCAAGGCACTTCACACAGTAAACATTCCAATGCAGTTCAGTTCATTAAGCCAATCAGTAAAAAGTTTCCTATATAAGGAACCCAGCAAATTGCATCAAGACACTGACAAGTGTCAGTGACTTTACAGCAATCATCATACTAAGCAAGCATTTGGCGACAGTGGAGAGGAAAACTCCCTTTTAACAGGAAGAAACATCCAGAGAATCCTGGCTCAGTATAAGCAGCCATCCTCCACGACTTACTGGGGATGGAGAAGACAAAGCAGACACACAAACACACACACACCAGCCCCCCCCCCCCACCCCACCCCACCCACCCCACCCCACACACACACACATCCACGCACACAACATAAATACCAAGTACTGTTTCTATGGTTACATTGTGATTTCTTAGTAAATATTCTATTTGCTGAGAGATAAACTTTATTGTATTTATTCTAGTGAATCTATAATTAAAAGGGTAAACTAGTAGTAGCACATTCAATGTCAAAGAAAGTAAAGTGTTATTATCAGGAGAGGGAGAAGGTTTAAGTGGTTAGCAACAGTGTTCAAGCCGATGGCCCCCTCCATGAGGCCACCACAGCTCAGCAGAACACCATTGTAATGGCAGGACACACCAAGGTACGCCTCTGTAGCACGGCTGGTCCACACGTCAGCAGTCAGGGGACCCTCGACAGCTCTGAGGGTCTGCTTTACCGTAAAGATAAAAGATATTAAAGTTAGTTTATTTACCAGATTAATAATTCAGTTACATCAAATCAAGTTGGTCACTGTAATGTAATAATTGTCCCAGGCAGTTTGCGCGCACCACCTCCCTCCGTCCTTACAGCGATCGGAGGTACGTGTGAGCGGTGCTGCACCATCAGACTGGAGGCACGTGCATGTGTGTTCATGACTGCAGTTTGTGTCATCATTGTATTTCATAGGAAAGCCACCATGCTCCCATACATGTGACTTAAACAATGCAGGTGGTTTTTCAAGCTCCTCTCCTCCTCAGCCATGACCGCCGCTGTGCTTTACTCGTTTGGATTGAACAGGAGGCGCCTCGACCCTTCACCTGACCAATCCGCGGATCATGCGTGTGCCGGACCGTAGAGAGAGATCGCGGATCAGTGATGATCCTTTGCACTCTTACTTTCAATTGACTGTCTTGTTTTTAATTTCCTCAGGAAATGGCATTGGCAAGGGCTTACTGTGCAAAGTTGCTGAGGTTTTGTATGTTTACGCATTTTGAAAGTGATCACAATATGTGAATCAGCTGTTTTCATGCTACTGACTCCACAATTAAACAGAGGATTGTTGTGTTTGCTCAGGTGGGAAGAAGCAAGCAGTGTGTGCGGCTGCAGCTGTCTGTGCTGAACTGGAACACTCCGTCTCGTGACTTTTATGCAGCTAAAGGAGGCCAGGACCTGACCGTTAGCGAAGGCTGGCACTTTGTTCGCTTTGACGGACAAAACCTGGACAATTTAGCCAATGATGCTCCTAAAATCTAGATGTATCTTATAAAAACAGATAATATGCTGGTTGGTTTGAACCCCATAAAGGTCACTTGAAGTAACACACCGGGTTTGTTTCCTCCTTGTGTTCTCTTCCCCAGTGCACAGAATCTCATAATTTAATTAGATTTTTAGATTTTATTTTGACTGTATTTCGGGATGGGGACTTTTTAAAAACAAACCAACCCTGATCCAGCAATTCCCCTTTAAACAACATGGTGTTGCTGTTGTGCACTCAGACCAGAAGCTGAGCTTTAATCAAATCTGATACGATTTATAGCCAATAGGTGGCGCCAACACAACCAGGCATTAGAAACCCTGAGTGTGTGAACTGAACTGGTTGTTATTTTATTCCATAAATTAATCCATCAGTTCCAGAAAACTTTGTGAATCAGTTTAAAAACAGGAAGAGTCCCTAAGTGGTCCAGACACACACACACACACACACACACACACACACACACACACACACACACACACACACACACACACAGTTCTTTGCTGATATCGTGGAAAAAAATTCTCATGATCCACACACTCTTTCTTCTGTAGTAAATTCGCTACTTGAGTTCTCTGATTGTAGTTCTTTGCCTCCCACAGTTGAAAATTTGTAATGACTTTCTTCACTTTTTTGTTTATAAGGTTACAGCTATTCGAGCTGCCATTACAAACTCACCACCTGACTCTACTCCCAGAGCCGCCCCAGGCTACACTGGAAACATTTGATCCTGTGTCATTATCGGACTTGGGAAAAACTGGTCGCTCAGCTTAAACCTTGTGATGTACTGTCCTCGAGAATTTATAAAGAACTCTTTCCAGTGATAGGCCCTTTACTTTTGACAATCATAAATGGCAGTCTTACTTCTAGAATGGTTCCATCCTTGTTTAAGAAGGCTGTTATTCATCCTATGTTAAAAAAGCCGGGGCTGGATGTGACAACCTTAGCTAATTACAGGCCCATCTCAAAACTCCCTTTTCTTTCCAAACTGCTGGAGAAGGTCGTGTATTCACAATTGGTTGCCTTTATGAACACAAATGATTTATGGGAAACCTTTCAGTCAGAGTTCAGGGCAGGTCACAGCACTGAATCTGCTCTTTTAATGGTTTTTAATGACACGTTTTTAGCCTGTGACATGGATAACGATGTTGTCCTACTATTGCTGGACTTATCTGCAGCTTTTGATACAGTCGACCACAAAGTCCTTCTGGACCGACTACAGCATTGGGTGGAGATAACTGGGCAGGCCCTCCAATGGCTTCGCTCCTACCTTCATGACAGGACATTTAGTGTTCAGATGGGTGAGGTGACTTCAGCCTGCGTGAGACTTCACTGGGGTGTGCCACAGGGCTCTGTCCTTGGTCCTCTATTTGCAGTGTATTTGCTTCCTATTGGAGTCCTCCTTCATCAGCATAATGTGAAATTTCATTTTTTTGCTGATGACTGCCAGATCTATCTCCCTCTTCGAAGTGGGGAGGACAGATCTGTTTCTCCTTCATTGGACTGTTTGAAGGACATAAAATGTTGGATGGCTTCTAATTTTTTGCACCTAAATGAGAGCAAAACGGAAGTCATAATACTTAGTCCTGGCAGAAGAAATGGCTCAGGTGCTGATATTGACCTTGGCCCATTGACCCCCTATGAAAAGAAAATAGTCAGTAATTTGGGGATAAAAATTGACTCCTCACTTAATCTTGAAACTCACGTAAATACAGTGGTGAGGTCCTGTTTTTTTTTTAACCTGAAACGACTATCCAGGATCAGGCCTCTGCTGTCGAGCTCATCTGGAGTCTGTGTTGCATGCTTTCGTCCTGTCCCGTCTGGACTACTGTAACGCTCTGTATGCTGGTCTGGCCCAGTGCATGGTTGCACGGCTCCAATTTGTACAGAACTCAGTGGCTATAGGTTCCTGACAGGTACTAGATGTCGAGAGCACATTACCCCAGTGCTGAATGCTCTGCACTGGCTCCCGGTGCAATACCGAGCTAAATTTAAGATCTTAACTATCGTTTATAAGGCCCTCCAGGGCAGTGCCCCCTCTTACATTACTGCACTTTTGCACAGGTATGCTCCATCTCGGTCTCTTCGCTCAGCCGAGCAGGGACGCCTGGTGGTCCCCCAGTCGAAATATCGATCAAGGGGTTATCGTGCATTTTCTGTTTTGGCTCCAACTCTGTGGAATGAATTGCCATTGAGCATTAGGCAGGCGCCGTCCCTTCAAGTCTTTAAGTCTCATCTAAAGACTCATTTTTATTTGATTGCTTTTCAACAGTAGGGTTCTTTGAATTGCCCTGACATTATGGTTTTTAATACGTCTTCTTTTTGATCAGGATGCTTGATCTTATTTTGTCCACCATTTGTTTTTAATTGATTAGTCTTATTCCATTATCTCTCTGTATTTGTAATATTGCTTGCTTGTTATTTTATGATTTTATGTTTTTATCTTGCTTTTAATGCCCAGGTACTGGGAATGTTTTTATGATGATGCTGTTCAGCACCTTGGGCTTCTGATAACGTTGTGGAAGGTGCTCTACAAATAAAATTGATTGATTGCTTGACTGATAATTTACTTTAGTGGACTTTTTACATTAAGGTTCCAGATTAATTATTGTCCAGTCCTATTTGCTTCTGCATAATTCAGTATGATAACGATCTCAAGGTCCCGGATAAATGCTTTAAAGACAACACAACTAGACTAGATTGGAGGCCTCGGGCTGCTTGGTGGCACAGTTTTAGCACTGCCGCCTCGCAGCACGAAGGTTGCAGGTTCGAAACTAGGCTGCTGCCTTTTTGCGTGGTGTTGCGTGTTCTCCCCAGGCATGTGTGGGTTTCCTCTGGGTACTCTGGTTTCCCCCACAGATCACAACAAGCCCTATAGGTGATAAATTGTGAGTCGCTTTGGATAAAAGTGTCTGCCAAATAAATAAACAATAAACATAAAATTAACAGAAAATCTTAAAGTCAAGGCACTGATGGTCATAATAAGCAGAAGCTGATTTCTTTGCACAGTTTTTGGAAGACCACTGATGTTTGTTTTGGAGGCATTAGTGTTCTGTCTGAGCTCAGTGTAGAAGCTGGTCCACAGCTGGGGCGGATAAGGCACCTGATGCTCTGCAGCCTCCTGCCACAGAGGAGTGACACAAACGGTGTGTTTGCTGGGTGGGTGGGGTCTTCAAGATGCAGGAGGCTCTTCTGCATCTTTCACTCTGGATGTGATAGTGGGCAGGTTTTATACCATCTTCCATCCAACATTCACAATGGTTTACAGAACTTTCTTATCCACTGCAAAGCAGTTGCCATACCACACAGATATGCAGAAGCACACAACATAATGAAGCAGATTTACTCCTTAAACATATTAAAGATCTTACATAAGAGTTTTATTCCTTTAAGCCTAGTCAGATTATTTGTCTTTCAGATGAAGAATGATGGGATTACTCTCATAAAGAGAAGAGCCTTTTGAGCATTTTTGATATCTTTGCACAACAAATGGAAGATTATTAATCCATGAATCTCAAAGCCATTGTTAGCCCCTTACAAACTAATCTGCATGTGGGTTTTTTTCTACGCTGCTTTGGGAGGAAGTCTCTTCTGAGGAAGTGCATAGTTTTGGGAAAAGATGCTGTTAATATTTTAAATGTACATTTAGTAAAATAAACTGCAGCAGCTATTCATTGGTTCATCTAAATCCACTTATATCATTCTTTAATTACATATTTCTGATGTTAAATCAGACACAACAGTATTACAGCCATGTCTACAATTCAAACAAATGAGCACATACTGAATAGTGACAGTGAGTCTGAAATAGACCTGAGTCAGACATTTTTGACATTTTCAGCTGTTTGCTCACTCGTGTAAAACGCATTTTTTAACGAGAGTTCATATACTTTGAACAGTGTTTCTGTATAAAATTCAAACAGTGTATACCTTACTGGTTTTAGATAGATCTTTAAAACGTAGTTTTTAAGAAACAGATGCGTTAGCTTATCAGTTCTGACCAGATGAACAAACTAACAGCTAGTTTGAACAGGGCCAAGACCAAGGCAGATTTATGTTATGAAGTTCTTTGCTTAAAATCCTTCCTATTTAAAGTGATATCTGCAGTTTTACTCTTGACATTTCCAGTACCTTGTCAGAACGAGCTGTTTAAGGGTTCTGTCAACTTAAGACAAACAAGCTAGACCTGGCCCCACCCACCCATCCCCTGCTCAGGCTGCTATAAGCTGAGAAGCTCCAATATGCAAATGTCTCTGTTTGTGATGTAAAAAAAACGGGAATTTTTTTAGACTGCTTGTTTTAAGCTCATCATTCCTGAAACCAAACACTGACCTAAAATGGATGGATTTTTTTATGTTTGGATTGTTTATAGAGGCAATAGAGACCTACATGGCAGCACCAAATGATGCAAAATGTGAGTTTTGCACAATATGTCCTCTTTAAAATAACATGGTCAGACATGGTCAGAGCAGTACTGACCTACACAAAATAGTTAGTCTCACAACCTCCCTAGAAGGATTGGAATTGATATTAACAAATCAAGTCATTCATTAGATTAAATAAACAGGGGAAAAAACGCATGTTTACATGAGGAATCTATACACATTAACATTATATGATCAGCTAAACATCTGTTCAATTTGAAAATGTGCATAATCCAACGTACATTATCTCATAGAAAATATACATATGTAAGTATTTCTTAGTAAATAAAAGATGTTGCGAATCATTTGTAGAGTCACAAACCTTTCCTTGGACTTCTCAGACGTAAGCGTTTCTTCCATAGTTGCTGGGAGTTTGAGACGTTGCTACTGTTGACCGCACCTGTCCTCTGGAGGGTGGGTGGTACGGATAAGGGCTAAAACAAAAACATTATTTCAGACTTGAAAACTTACTCTGTTTTTATAAAGAACAGAAACATTTGTAAACTGCTTCTCACGTTTTTTCACCAGGGCTGTTGGATATGCAGGCACATAACAGACACGAGCCTCCACAGAGTGCAAGGACAGCAGAAGACCAGCCGATGTAGAGGCCCTGTCCAATCTCATACCTGCAATACATTCATCTTATTTCTTTATCCCATGGCGAAGAATGCCTAACAATTGTTGTATAATGTTTTTTAACAACTGATAACCTTTAATGTGAACTCACTTTATTCCTGCATAAAATTGGTCAAAGAACTGCTGGGTGATGTTGGCTGCATACCAAGACACGGCAATCATGGTGCAGAGCCCTTCGAACACAAAGACGTTAAATATAGTTTAATTTACAAGCTTTACAAATAAGTTAAAGATAACAGTTTCAGGTAAAATGTTTAAAGGTTTGATGCAGACATTTGCAGTCTTGTGCAATCATCTTTATACTAGCACTGCCATTGTGCAACTAAATAATGCTTTAGTAGAAGCAGAGAAAACTCCAAATGAGCTCATGTACAGCACGGAGCAAATGGGATTACAAATGAGTTTTTGAAAAAGTTGATCAAGAGATTCTCATTTACTCAAATTTATGTAGAAATGGTATTCTTAGTCGTAGAAAATATGCATCAATCGTATATCACATGAAATCCCTTTTCCCTCATTAAATGATTCATAAAACAGCAACAACATATCTTTACCACTAATAACTTTAAACTACAAATATTTTCTTTCTTCCTTCAAATTTGTTAAAGGATAGGTTCAACCATTTAATCAATACATTTGTGGTCTCTAGTAGGAATGAATGCCTTAAGTCGGGGGTCGGCAACCCGCGGCTCTGGAGCCGCATGCGGCTCTTCCATCCATCTGATGTGGCTCTCTGTGCTTGTAAAATAATGAATGGATATTTAAATAAAATGCTTTATATTTTACTGCATTAATTTTACATCTGTATGCCAATTCTAAATGTAAAGATTGTCTGCGTAAACCTGAACAGGCCCAACCCGGTCTTACTGTGAGACCGGGTTGACGTGTCATGCTTGTGCGTAATCATATGCGCTTTATGAGCTGAAGAGGATGTGAGATTCTGGGATTTTCCTCAGATGGCTCCTGGATGTGTCGCCACATTGGAGACAGGAACAAGCACTATTCAGCCAAAGTTTCATAATCAGGGAACATTTTCTAAGTGACAAGTCTCGCTTCAGTCGGAGGAATCTTCCTGCATGCGCTCTGGTTCTGCGACGCGCTCCAAGCCCCTCTCCACATCTTCAGCTCGCTGTGCACTGTACGTACGCGCTGACAGCGAGCTGCGCTGAGCAGTGTCCAGCTCAGATGTTCAGATGGGAATCTTTTCTTGAGTGATTTAGCTACATCTGCGATGTGCGTAACGAATAAAATGTCAGTTTTTCTGCATGCTTCAGGGTAATTCTTTCTATTCTTTCTCTGTCAAAATAAATGGTCAAATACGGGAACTATCCGGTCAACACAAGCCCTGCTTTTAACGGTTCTGTTTCTTGTGAAAATTGTTGCAAAGAGATATAATTTAACTTGATTAACACCAGAGCCATATCTCCGTCACTGTAAATGAGGGAAAAACAAATAGATCGGATCCTTTTCTGACCTTCCCCACCTACAAAGTTTAACTGGTATACTGGTGCGCCATTTCCAGGAACTAGCATTGACCCACATCACAGCTGAGCTTCAGATGGCAGGTTTTGGAGTTTTATTTCCTGATATTTGGACATTATTGGACGGGTTTGCGACTCTACCACTGACTTGCAATGTTGATGTTTTATCTCCACAAATAACACAAGCCTGGAGGAGCTTCTGCTGTGTGGTGAAGTTTCTGACCCTAACAGTTAGCTTATAATAGTTGGGACATTCTCAGCTGTTTCCCGGACACTAAACCAAAAACAGCCTTCCCCGTCGTGAGTCAAGATGGGTGAGTCAGTGAATGTTAAATGATGGTGTGACGTAGATCTGTCAGGATTTTCTAATCCCAGAACTTCACCGTCTATTTTCTATCAGAAGCTAAAGCAGGAGATAGGTGTAGGAGACTATTTTCATGTTCAGCCTGCACGAATAACTCAGATTGACCGATTATAATCAGAAAAAATAATTTAGGAAAATGGGTTTTCAGTGTTTCACAACTCTAACTTTAAACCCCTAACAACCTTAAACAACAAATATGTTCTTTTACCCCTCAGTTATTAACAAAAAAAACTAGTTTAACTTCTAACATGTTTCAATGTTCCTTCGCTGAACTCTGGGAAATAAAGTTTGTGTCCTTAAAAATTTAAATTAATTTTAATTTTTAATTTTTTAAATAAATTTTTTAACCTTAAAAAAACCTGTCCTTTTAACAGGTTTTTAAAAAATCTAATAAAGAGGCTCATTTGCTGTTTAAATTTATCGCTGTTTGTCTCTTCACATGGATGACATTTTTAAGAGGTCAAGTTCTGCATTAAAATAGGAAGCAATATAATCCCTATTTCACAAGCTGGCACAGTCTACCGAGACACTAAAATGTCTCTTTTATGGTTTAGTCAAAATACAACCGAATCACAGTAATAAAGCTGTCTCACATCATGTGTTGATCTGAAAAATTTGACACCACAAGTCACCGAAATCGCTGTCAGTTTACTGTCTCTTCCTTTTTCAAGGATTAATTTATCTATTTATGTTAAATCTGTTAGTCGTGCTTTCAAGGACCTAAAATAATTTCCTGTGAAGTGGACAATTTCAAGTGAGGTCAGATGATTCAGATAATCTGACATAAATAGCGTGCTGAACACTTTGAAGTTTGGACTTTGAGTTCAGTGAAGGCAGCGTGATCAGGAAGGACTTTAAAAAGTAACAAGGGCATGTTCTGCTGCTGAGATTAAAACATAAGAGCAGAAGACACACATTAACTGACATGCTTGTGTTTCTAACTTGTTACTAGTTAACAAACTAAGGCACAAAACATGTGCAATTTTAAGTAGTAAATCCATCAAGTACAACTTTACAATTTTAGTCCATTCATTTCTAGTATCCATAAGCCTATTACAGCACATTAGTACAGTTTTAAACCTTTAGGGGAGTTTTGCCCAACACTCTTAGTAAAATTTCTACTGGTTCTGTACACTGTTGTCATGATACAGTTTATATGAATGTTTTTAGTACAGTTTGTCAGTGTTCTGTTACAGTTTTAAATGCATTTATGTTACAGAGAAATGATTTTTATTTCTCTTTAAGAATTGTCTCGGATGTTTACCTTGAAGTATAAAGAACACTCCTCCGATTGCTGCTATCCTCCCCTTAAGAACGTAGTTTTCGCCTCCTATTTTGGAACACTGCATTCCTATGAGAGTACCCACAATGCCAAATGTCCCAAGCACAATGGAGGCAATCATCAGTCCTCGGGTGGCTTGAATGTACCCTGTGTGCAAACATTACACGATAAAGTACATTAATATAATGATAGCACTGAAATGATACAAGCTTTCACTAGTCAATGATTTGGACATACACAACCACTGGTGGAACAAGGTGTGTCTGACATGTTTCAAATAATCAAAACTTAATTTATACAGCACCTTCCACAACCCCAGTTGGGCGCCCAAGGCGCTAGAACAATCAGGAACACATACGATCATAAAAAGAGAAGTTAAAACACCATAATTAAAACATAGGGCTAAAAGTTAGAAGTAAAACAGTAAGTCAAAAACTAATTAAAAAGAAAAAAACAGACAAACATAACTTCAAGTATGTTCTGGAAACGCTAAGCGGAAAAAATGAGTTTTCAATCGACTCTTGAAGAGCGGCAAAGAGGTAGACTGCCTAATTTCATATGGCAACTGGTTCCACAGTGATGGAGCAAGAACCGAGAAAGCTCGATCCCCACGAGTTCGACACTTAGAGCGAGGGACACAAAGGAGGCTCTGATGGCTCTGATCGGAAGAGCACAGAGGGCCAGTATGTCTTCAGGAGCGCCGCTAGGTAGCGGGGGAGGGGGGCATCCCTGAAAGAAGTTAAAAACAAAAACAATCATTTAAAATACGCCCAATAAAAGATCGGAAGCCAGTGAAGGGAGGCCAGCACAGGAGTGATATGATCCCACTTACAGACTTACAGACATGTTGATATGTTTGGCTCAGGGCAACATTTGTTGTAATTTTCCTCACCTCTCCAGATCTTCTAGAATTGTTTTTGTCTTAAATAAAGTTAGTCTCCTGAAGTCGCTCATAGGAGTAATGACCTTTTGTCCAACAGTCAAATAACTTGAGTTGAAAAATGTTGCGTAAATAATAAACCATAGCTTACAGAAAAGTGTCATTATCACAAAAAGGAACCTAATCTTTGATATCATTGTAAATGTTGAAGTGGTGAAATATTTCACTCCAGTGAAAGAAATGTCTCCCAAAAGGTTTTGATATTTATGTCTGAATTTGCTTGTATTCAAATAAAAATGTCGTAAAACAAAGCCTGCGAGTTTCCGCAAGGCTGGTTGCATAGACATTGCCTAAATCATTTTTATGTGTTTATTGCTTTTCAATTATTGACTTTTTCCTCCCGGATTTTATAGCCGTGTTTACCAACTTATCTGTCTGCTTACACTGACAAATCTTTTGAACACTAATTTACTTCTGTGTTACATTTGCATAATTTGATTGATTGCACCATCACCAAGCCAACTTTTACTTGAGTGAGTCAGTAATATTCAGGCTTACCATCCAAGTACATCAGAATAAACTCTTTTGTAACGTACCACTCAGTGCAATTAGAGAAGGGAAATCCCGGCAGGTGTGAACTCCAGTAGACTCAGTAGCACAGGACATCCATAGGTTTTCGTAGACGGTTGAAATGGTAATAATGTTACCGTCCATCGTAGACTCCTTCCAGTATCGATGTGGAAGGGCAAAACCAACCATAATCCAGCTCAAAAAGCCCATAAAGCCTGCCAGCGCTTCCACTACTGGGTCCATTGTTTTCTTGTTTATTTGTATTTAACTTGTTTGAAATCATCGACACAAATTAAAGTCAGATAAGCTATTTTCAAACTAAACAAAAAGATTTGCCTGCCACAAATCCACAGACTTGGTGCTACTAAAGTGCTACGGAAAGCTACAAATGAATGATTAATTCTTCTTATAATCTTCCTTATACTTCTGTCCTCTATTAAAACCTATGAATGGCTACATTTTTACCACACCTAGAACAACAAAGAGGTGAAGTCTTTTAAACCCGATCACAGACTAAACCTTCAAGCTCTGTCAGGTGCTATTAAACAATTATTAATGAAATCCCAAGAATGTTCAGACACAGTGATGATGGGGACATTTGAAGTGAGTCGGGGTGAGTGCTGGTCATCTGGTGCTGACCTTGAGGTGACCTGCTTGGGGCACCAACACATTAGGGTGTTTGCCCATCTAATGAATGACATAAGTGTGTTTTGTATTGGAAAGAGCCCATTATGCGTTTTCAGCACAGAGCAGAGGTGCAAGGAGACACATTTTACTCTCTTCCAACAGGTTATTAACTTAAACACACGGGATGTAAAGGGGCTGGTATGTCTGTGCTGATTAGATCTATAAAAATAAGTGAGGACTATTTAATCACATTCAGTTTTCAGGATTGTTTTATCATAATGGATCTGAAAACAAGAGTAAGGAACATCCTGATGTGTTTAAGGCAGATTATATGCCTTTAAAAATGTTTAAGATGTTTCATATTAGAGAAACTGTACTGGTGAAATTTATAATCGTGTTTTCATCACTCCCATAGATTATATACGTCTAGTTTTCAGTTACTATAATTGTATTGTTTGCTGGTTTTGTTAAATAGTATTTATCCGGCCTTGTAGTTTATATTAATGTGAATATTCAAAGAAAATTGTTATTTTTCAAGCCTGCATCCTAATAATCCTGGAGGACATTTCAAGTACACACACAACACAGAGTTTAAACCATTCTGAAGCAAACACACAACCCTACAGTATAAGTGTGTATTGTCTTCTGAATCCTTAGAATAAACAATAACTAAATGCCAATAACAGAAGAAAAGAACAATGTTTATAATAAATTGAATTAATTTAATTATTGCCTTTTTTTCCTTAGAAAGTGGTTTATTGTACATTACATAGGCGCCTGCAATGTAATTTCTTTTGTACTTATAAAGAACAAAGTTAGTTTATGTTTTTACTCACCTGGGAGAGCCAGAAGTGATGGAAAATCCCGACAGTTAAAGACTCCCGTGGAATCACTCGCACAAGACATCCAGAGATTCTCGTAGATTGTTGAAGTTGTGATGGCGCTCCCATCGTTGGTGGATTCTTTCCAGTACTGATCCTCTAGTGATACAAAAACCAGTATCCATCCTACAAAACCCAGAAAAAGTGCTATAATCTCAGTAATTCCTTTCATCTTGTAAAAGAAATAAATCTTATTAATAATTAGGAGTAGTTGCTACTGCCCCAGCAAGGAGCTCTGTTATCTACATCTGTGTCTGATATACATTTTGGGAGTGTGAGAACTTGCGCAGGACTTTTTTTTTCCTCCTGCAGTCAAACCTGGAAATTTGAACATTGATTTGTTGGCTGTTGCTGGATTTTAAGCATGCTCTTCCCGCCCAAAATTGATGACTTTTCACGTCCTCTGAGATGTTTCCATAGAAGTAAGTACAAAATAAACAGTATTTATTCCTCTGCTGTTAGTAGAGGGTTAGAATGTCTCACCTACGGTTTCAAAAAAACTACTTTTGTCAGGAATTAGAAATAATTTTTCAAAACATCGCACACGAACCGTTGTGGTTTTATAGAACATTTGTGGTGCTACGTAATAAATGAAGTTAGATTACAGTAAAGATCGCCTGATGAGACTTTGTTATATTAATTAATTTATTGTAATTTAAGTTGTCAATAAATGTTTGATCTTTTTGTGGATTTAATAGGTAGCTCATATTTAAGGGAGGTTATTTCACGATCCATAAAGCAGATACTTAACAGGGAAATGCTGAACGCAAGAGAAAGCAAACACACTATTAGTAATTTATTGAAGTCTGAAAGAAGTTTTGTTTTTTTAGCGCTGGTTAACCATTAATAAAATAGCAAAGGTACAATCAGTGCGATGGATCTCATTCTCTGTGTACATACGTCTGTATTTGAGCGCTCAGATTTAACAGCGATGTCTTGTATGTTCCTGTGACGAACTGCTGACCTGTCCAGGTTGTCCCCGACCTCTCGCCCAGTGACCGCTGGAGTTAGAGCTCCCCACAACTCTATTGAGAATAAGCAGTACAGATAATCAGTGTGTGGGAGTAAATGAGTCTTGTGTCATTGTTGGGATAGCTGTAGAAGCTGGCCAAAGTCCAGGCTCTTCTGAAATGTTCCACGTATTATAGAAAAAGTTTTAATCTGAGAGAATATTCGTGATGTAACGGTTGACAATTTTGAGTAGTTTGCCAGACATTGAGGATTCTTTATTCTCAGACAAGACTTTGTTCCATTTGAAAAGTATTATTTATTGTCTGTATCTTATCACATGTCAAGTCCTTTTGTCAGACAGCCTTCAGAAGCACAGTTCAAAGTTCTTTCACGTTCGATTACAGTATTGAAATGGCATTTGAAGCTCAACTCATAATCTTGTGTCGGTTAATGTTTTATTAGGATTGACTCTTTCCACCCCTCTCTTCAAAACCTCAGATATTTATGTCCGTATGACTGAGTCGACCTCTCTAATGGGACCACCAAGGGCACGTGGGTTGTAAAAGTAACATAACCACTAATGCACGTGCGTAGTTTCTCTGTGTATTTTGAATGAGTCCTTTATTGAGGAAAAGATGAGGCGATTACCACTCATATTACACACACTGATGAATAATTCTGTTTTAGACTCATGGCTGTTTATCACTGAGCTTCCCTTTGTGAATTAGACAAATGAAAAGTTTAGTCTTTTTAGTCTAGTTTGTAAACCAATCCTCACTAATGTTAGTATGTATTTATTTATTATTTTTGCCATCAAACACATTCAGCGAGAACTCTGCTTTCAAAAACGGGAACTTGGAGGTATTTTCAAAATTCAGGGGATCACACTCCTCAACCAGCTTGCTGAGTCTGACTGATGGTTGAAGCTTAGTTCCACGAGGAGCAGTTTTTTTTTTTGGGGGGGGGGGGGGGGGGGGTTGTTTTTTCTGGTCATAGAACCCTGGATACAGGTCAGGGAATCTCTGCCAAAGCTGTTGAATCCTGCAGCAGAAGATGGATGGATGGATGGATGGATGGGAATTCTGCTTCCTCACTGAGCACTTTCATTCCACTTTACGAGGGCTGCTCTTAAACCAACAAAGGGGCAAAAGTGAGAGGTGGCGCGTTAACAAAAATGTTGTACCTAAAGTGGCAGTGTATAGTTTCCTGCCACTAGGGGGCAGTACATACATTTCAAGGTAGTTTTACATCATGTCGCCATTACTGTCACTAGTTTAAAAAATATTACGGTAAATTTTGTTAACTGTGGATCAGAAAACAAGCTACCTGGGCATGACTCCTCAGACTTTGATGGTCCTTCAGTTAATTTCATCGCTGTAGTTTCCAGATCTGCTCAGGGTCCTGCGCCTGCCTATGATGTCATCATACTACGGCAATACCGTTCGACCAAAATATATTGCATCTTTTTTTATCCTGTTTTTTCACTTGTTTTTGAAATAGTTTTGCTATAAAATTTGTGCCTCTAACTGCCTAAATATTTTTGAACAACGTAACTTTAACATTTGTTCATCCAGCCAATCATCTATTGTGATGTCATCAACAGGCACATGTCTTGGAGCCAACCAGAAGGAAACATGGCGTCACCCAGAGACTTAGACCCACTCCCATGTACTTTAGACCAGATTTTTATGGTTATACTTTACAAAACCGCCAATATTTTTCAATAACTGGACATCATTTTATTCATTTTCAACAATGTTTTGATGGATGTTTCAGGAGATTAAAGATAAAACTACACATTGTCCCTTTAAGTAAAAGTACAAATACTCTGATGAAATTTTACTCAAGTACAAGTAAAATTACCTGGCCATATACTGACCCTTAAAAATGTAAACATTGGCTTAAATAAAATGTACTCCAAAAGTTACTTAGTTAATTATTTGAAAATGTGACGATGGCCTCTTCTGAATAGCGCAAAAACAAAATGGGATATAGATCTCAGTTTGTTTGTTATTCCATTTTGTAACGTTGGCCCTGCCTTTCTAAGTTAAAGTTAAAGTTGCACTAGTTGTCACACCGGTGTGTGTGAAATTTGTTCTTTGCATTTGACCCATCCCCTTATGGAGCAGTGGGCTCCAGACACAGCGGTCCATTTGGTGATTTAACCCCCCAATCAAACTCCTTAATGCTGAATGTGAAGCAGGGAGGTGTTAGGTCCCGTTTTTTTAAGTCTTCGTATGACCCGACCATGGATTTGAACCCACAACCTCCCAATCTCAGGGTGGACACTTACCACTAGGCCACTGAGCTTCTGTACCTCTAGATTACAGTGCCTTTAATCGTGTCCATCCTAGTGTTTTTCTCTGAACTAAAGGTGTATTTAGAGCAGCTGATTTTTAAAGTTAGCAGAGTTCATCCTTGCTCACTTTGCAGTGAACAGCTGCCCAGAAGAGCTGGCAGATGCTTACAGGCAGTGCAAGCAGGTCGTTTTTTTGTGTGGAAGTCAGTTCAGTCACTCACTCACTCACATGTTCACTGCTGACATTGGTTTGCTCCTTCCGATCTCGTATCCTCCAATCATCCAACTGGAAGCAGTGAAGGGTGCTTTTTCTTTTCCTAGCCCCCCATAAAATCCATTCAGTTGGAAAAGCCCCCTGGGCTGCATATCTCTTCACCACACAGAGTGAATTCTGTGTTTGGCTCTAACGCATCTGCGTCTTCCCAGTGTCCACTCCTGTGCTGACGCTGTATTTTTGAAACGCAATACTTTCAATTTTTTATAGGCCTGTAAATATATTTTTATCCAAGAAACTGTTCAAAATATAGAAAAGTACAACGCTTTACAAAGCATACTTAAAGTAAAATTACTGATTT